TGTTTCCGGACAGATCCAGTCGATCGAGCTCCGGTAAGCTTTTTAGAGCTTCTGTTGGAACCATTACGAGTCGATTGTTGGGCAGTCCAAGCGCCTGCAAAGGCGACAGTAAACCTATACAGAAATAAACGCTGCCACGTTGATTGAGAGAAAATGAAATCGAATTCACCTTCAAAAGCTGTGGGATGAACTTCGTGTATTTCCCCCGATGAAATTACTAGTCCATGGAGGGAAATTCCCTCGAGAAGAGGACCGGAGACGATGGAGACGTTTTGTACTGTACAGTCCAAGAGGGATATGGAGGCTGTTCTTAAGGAGCGCAACTTTCGAGCTAGAAAGGAAGAATTTGGAGGGTTTATAGATGGAGTTTTTTAGAGCCTTCAGTCTCGACGTAAACGACGAAAAGCCGGGAAACTTTTAAAGGCTTATTCCCGCTAGGGAGCACTGATGACAATAATGACCCCTTAGGGCAAGCTAACGATTTTTGCACAACTTTGGGTTGGATTCTATTTAGTAGCTACAGTTTGTACCTATAATTTGCATAGCTGACTTGTCGCCGGTGCACCTTAAGGTATGAGGCATGTCGCAACTGCATTCCACCACCGGTTGCTGAGTGATTTCTGGACATCTCCAGTCTTCGAATCGCGTTGGAGGCGGAGAACCCGGCGAAGGAATTGCTGAGGTACCGCACCACCATATTAGGGAGAGGCTCAGCCACCACATCCTGAAACAAACACAGATATAGATTATTACCAACTATTATATACCAACTAGCTTCTGGTGGTTGACGCGATGTATTTGAACTTCTTTTGCATCAGCAGTGGCAAAAACAATGCAAATGTGTCATTTTTGATAAGCACTTGGGTGAAGTCATTTGTTTATTGCAGTTATTCCAGTTGATCAATCGATTGCAACATTCACTGGTTTCCCTCACAATGAGTTATTTAGCAGTTGACTAAACAACTAGAAGGATGGCGTTAAAGCTCAGCCTAATAAATCCTCAGAGCATTCAAGCCGACAAAGGAAAAGACGCACTTAATTAGGCAGTTTAGGAAGATTAAGCCTCTCAAACTCGCTAAAAGCTCAAAGTGTCTGTTGCGTTTGATTGTCTTTGTTGAAAACTTGAACTAAAACAACATCGCCGGACACATTTCTAATCGATAATGTTAATACGTGGGAGTCCCATAACTAACCACTCGAGATTTGCTTAACGAGTGAATGTTTAGTAATTATCTTGTGGTTGGTGCGTTGAAACTATTGGGAAATTGTCAATTCAATTTTAAGTCCGGTGGAAAAATTAGCCGAAGCAAACGAACCGATTTGGGCCACTGCGTGTCAAAAAACGGCATTTTATGTATTTTATTGAACGACATCGAATGGCCATTAGAGACAAAACGCCTCCACCATTACACCTGACAATTTCTTCGCTCAAGTTGGAACAGAATTCCCAGAATGCGACATTTCGATTGAGTGGGCCCGCTTCGATTGGCGTTAAATCACAGTTGGAGTTCGGCATTATTGTTGAATCTCAATAGAAACGGAAAATAGGCAAAGTCAATAAAAAATGTTGCAGTTGTTGAATTTATTCCATGTTGGAACCCACGATTTCCGCCTATCGGCGTTGGAACAACTCATTGATTTCGACATGGCGTTGCACAAGCCAATGGAAATCTAAGTGCATGTTCATTAGTTATGCATTTCGGGTTTCACCAATATGATTAATCAGCCAATAGAGCGGTTTCTGACATTTATCAAAGGATGATAGTTCAACAATTGGGCGTTTTCATCAAGCAGCCATCGGCAATCAATGCGATCCTAATCAAAGGTTAATCAGCCATCTAATAACGTGTTTCTTCGGCGTTGCTGATATCCGATAGATATAATCATCGCATTTCGTCGCCTGATATTTTAATTAAGCAAAGCCCATAAACGGATTATTGGATTTACCTGAGGCTTGCAGTTGCACGCTTAAGGAGGTTTTTGAATTCCCAAGTTTCCAGGAAATCCCCGAGTACAAGCTTTTGTAAGTTCCATGTATGGTTTGATGATGAGTAGTTTGTATATTCGAAACATTTTCGGTTTTTCACAGGCTTGTAAGCTAAAGATGCTGTTGTTAATGTATGAATGTGAATATCCATTTATTGTCATCCACACGGTTCGTTCTTGTGAATTCTGGAACTCCTCACGAAATGATCTTAACGGTGCCGGATGGAGTTGAAGCCATTGCGAAAAAACCCCCCATTTGCACCGGTTGCAAAAAATAAAAAATCCACGTTCGGAACTTTGGAGACGAAAAGTTCCCACCGAGCGATTTGCTTTATCGACAATACGCCCGGGTAAAAATGCATTGATAAATACACAGATGGTAACCAGAAGTTATATGAAGTCCGAAAAAGGAAACCGATTGAAAACGGTGGGTAATGCGAGTTGCAAGAGCGCGGAATGCTGAATCAACGCAAAGATGGACATACATGTGAGTGAAATTAAAACCAGTAAGATGAAATCTCTGCTTTATGAGACTCGGAGACGACAACAGTCTTCGCATTCATTTTATATGGCTTTTGCCCTTTGTTTTCACTTGGCAAATGATAGATTGGTCGATTTTGATTGATTCAAGAAGAAATTGATGAACGAATGACTTTATACTGCACACAAGATGAGTACATTCTAATTGCTTTCTGACGTTTCGCTCACATATGCGGGTGCATTTTCAAACTGGGGAGAGATTAATAACTTATTGTACGTACTTTCCTGACAGTGTTTCAATTCCAAATTAAAATCAAATCCTGGGCTCTTCAGTCATTTATTGTCTATTTATCAATTAAAAAAACGTTTCGGTGTTTTCCACCATCATCAGTTTCAATGTGTAGCGTTGTTGCTACTTTAAGCCTTGGCATGTATTTCTGCAGCAGAAATACCAGCCCAGGAGCCCAGGATTTGATTTTAATTTGGAATTAATAACTTTGTAACTTCTGAAGGCTAATTTCTGGATTTTGCGGAACAAAACATCGAGAAATCGAACGAAACTGTAAAAAATCAAAGCCCATGGACATACGCAGTTAAAATTTGAGCACGGACTTCCTCTGACCGTTCTGCATAGAACACATCACCTATCCAAGGACTATATTATGTAACGTTAACCACGTATTAATCGAATAAAAAAATCCTTTGTTGATGCATTATTAATTGATGCAGAGACGCTTCGCCAACACGAAGTGTTTGATTGATTGAAGCGAGTCTTCTTTGCTGATAACACTTGATTTCACCAGGAAAAAGCTGTGGACTGTTAAGTCATAATGAAACGTTCGAGGCCAGGCAATAACTAAAAAGCCTAAATCGTGGAAATTTGGGGAAACTATGCGTGTGGATGCTGCGAACTTCAACCATTTAGAATGAGCCGGAAGGTTGATGTCGTAACAATTTGAATAACCAACATCTACCGGGTACTAGCTTAGTATTCGATGCGCAAAACAATCTTATAAATACTATCAAAAACAATAACACAGTATTCAAGAGTCAAGGTCTGTTGTAGACGAGCGCGGTTTGGAAAGCGCAGTTTTTTCTGAACAAATATCCTGGATGGTGTGCGATTTTTTTACTGCATGGTATCCAAGTGGATTATGTGCTGTGTATCAGGTGCAAATATTGGGCATCGTAATTGGTAATCCGACAGCATAATTGGATGGCGATAAACGTGATTGTTGACAATATTGTCAAGTCTTAGCCCAGGAAACTGTGCTCGAATGATGTGATCTTCCTTATCCAAAAGTGAAGCTCAGCGAGCAACAAGGTAAGTTCAGTTCATGTCAAAGTTCTCCAATGTTCTCTAACGATTCTCCGGCTGGCAACTCATAGAATAATTGGTTGAATTATGCAAATGCCGCGTCAAGGCAACATTATTTTTTCCACCCACCTTCAAAGCTTATTAAAACTTTCCACCTGCCCATAATTCATACAATTTGTCGCTCCTATCGCCAAGCTTTCCACCAAATTAGTAAGTATAGCGTAAAGTCGTACACAGACTGAAAGTTTCCGAAAGTTCGACGGGAATTTTTAAATTGCCATTGCATGGTTGGTGCTAGAAAATGTCTGGTGTGGATGTGCAGTGATGTTAATGGTGTTCGGTTTGTTTTTTGCCTGCTGGTTTAAGGATTTTTTCGATGATTTATAGTCGATTTTTAGCTTTTTCTATGTCTTTTAGGTTTATTGCAACAGTGTTTCATTTGCTGCAGCTTTGGTTTCTCTGGTGGTTCTTTAGATGCCATTAGGGACTGGAAACTTTTTTTTCTCTATTGTATTTTGGGCTCAATGTAAAAAGTTATTTTTCATTGCATATGCGTTGTTTTCTTGAGGCTTTTCCCTAGACAACTTCTTTGGTTGCTGCTTTTTTAATTTGGATCTCTGCAACTAACTTTGTTTCGGCATTTTTACATTTCCATTCTGAACTTATTCTCCTTTGAATAGTGTTTCCCCGTCTAGTTTTTCGGACGAAATCGTCCAGTACAGTATGATATTACTATTTAAAAAGAAATAATTAAAAATGTATTATTTAGTGTACAGCAAGTGAAAGTTTCCGTTGCGCATATTGGTGCATAACCGGCGAAATGTGGCTTATAGGCCTGTCAGTGACCACACAATTGAGGCGTTTGGGCCTACTATGAGGGTGATCTGCGATCGGCCGGGGATTTTTCGCCAGTGTCGCAAGAAAAATGCTATTCATTACACCGATTGTTGACTCTTCGAGATTTTTTAACTATTTCGGGAAGTTTTGTTGACTATATAATGACTTTTTGCGTTTGGGTTCCTGGCCCAACCAACATATTTTCTCGCATCAACGCAAAATTGAACCTAATTTTCTGGTAACATTTTGGAACTGACTTTTTCCCAGTAAATTTCTGTGCTTGATGCTTTTGGAATCTGCTCGGTCCTCGCCTAAAAGCTTTACATTCAAATTACTCCAGCAGCTTCTTAATTTAAAATCAACTAATTGAAGTATATGCAAACAGTTCCAGATTTGCATCCTTCAGTAGCTGAAAACAACGCTTTTACAGTTTGAAGCTCTGGATAGTTTAGAGCCTCAAATGCTTCAGGACATCAGTCGAACCTGAAATTTCTGACGAGAGAAAGAAATTATATTTTGGAAGTTTTCTTCCCCTTTTTGGTGCAATTTCAGAGAGAAAACTCGAATTCGTTTAAATAAAGACCAACTTTGCTCGATGCTCGACTCTTATGAAGACATTTGAGGGCATCAGCTTTCCAGTTGCAAATAAGCGACTCAGTTAATAAGAACTCATTCTTTGAATGCTGAAAACAATGGTCATATAATTTAATATCAACATCAAGTCGATACGGCTGATGTATAATGAATTCGAGTTCCTTTTACAGAAGCGAGCGGATTCACAGGAAGCTTTTGCGCAAAGTGCACTAACCGGCAGTTAACTAAGCTAACTTTTGGAGTTGTTATTTAATTAGGACCGGAGGACATGAAGAAAGTTGACTTTTTTACGCCGATCGTGCTCGTCCTGCTCGTGTACGATGTGGAAGCCAAAGTGTTCACCAAATGCGGCCTCACAAAGGAACTGTTGAATAATGGATTTGAGCGAAGTTATGTCGGGAATTGTAAGTTTACTTTTGTGAGTTGCAAGTTCAGCGAGCTCAGGTGTTTGATAATTGCATTGCTGCTTTTTTCATGTCGCTTGCCCTTAAACTGGAAGGAAAAACTGTTGCAAAACAGTCGCAATCTTCTGAGTGGAAGTCTAATGCAATTAGAGCCAATCCATTCCAGAACAGCAAAGAATAACATCATAACGCATTAAGCTGATAAGAGCAATCATCCAAGCCATAACAACATTCTATTAGTGCGTGTTCAGATCGATTGAAGGAAATTGAGCGATATTTTGGGATTGTTTCAAGGAAATTAGTATATTTACTCCGGAGAAATTATCGCTGTATTAATTAAATTGGCGCATGTGAATAGTTAATTGCAGTTCGAAGATTACGGCGATTTAATGGTTGGGGAATAAGTGAAGTAATTGCTTGGGTTTCTAGTGTTTTTAGTTGTTTACTCAAAACATTTTCTGCATTGGTATTTACTTAGGGCATTTTTTCTCTAATTATTTCAGCTGATATTCCTGGTGGTTTCATTTTTCCCACTTCATTATAGGGGTCTGCATGATTGAAAGCGAAAGTGCAAAAAACACCTCCAAAGTGACTGAGAGGGCCGACAGAAGCAAATCGCTGGGATTGTTCCAAGTATGTGATGCTCTATTTTCTAAATGTAAATTTCCATTCAATGATTTTCTCAGATCAACGATAAAGTTTGGTGTAAATGGGGGGCTGCTGGCGGCAAATGCCAAGTCAAATGTGAAAGTAAGTATTTTGAAATTTAACTGGCGCTTTATTCGATAATTTGTTTTTAAAAGTTAATTGCAGGCGATTTGAGTCAAACTAAGGCCATAAAGCATAAACGCTAATTGGCACTAAAACAGTGGTAGTTGCATCACTGCCGCTATAAACTACTTTTTATTCGAATGAATCAAAAAGTGCCATTTTGCGAAAAGAAGCGATGATCAAAAAGAAGCACTTTTCTTTAGCGTTCATTTGTTTTACTTTTACGCAAAGTAAATGTGACACTTTGAACTTGCCACTGTCATTATATATTTTTTAGTATTTTTATTTAAAAATAACCGAAATGCTTTTTTAAGGAATTAC